GCCAAGGCCCTCCCTAGCCCCAGGCAGGCAGGGGTGGGGAGAGGTGGGGAGGAAGCAACTTACCCTCCCTCTTCTCCTGCCTCCTCCTGGCTGAATGAGGGCCGGAAGCGGGGCGGCCGGAAGGAGGGGGCGGGGCTTCGTCGTGTGCCCCGCCCCCCACCTCACCCGGGGGAACGGCAATCCCCCCCGAATCGACCTCTGGGTAGAGGGGGTAATTTCACCCCCTTCTCACTGCAACTCCATGATCCATGTGGCTATTAATCCACATGTTCCCACAACCCCAGGAATCATCTTTCCATGGTCAGAAGTTGCTGGCTGATGTGAACTGGGAGTGGGGAAATGGTAAAAAAATTCACATTTGCTGATGGATCGCTGAATCCAACCCAATGTGTTTGAAGAACTGGCACTTTCTTTGAAGAAGAGTACATAGCTAAACCAGCCAACTGTTCAATTAAGAGCCAGTTATAGTTCGCAGTTCTAGCATCCTGGATTTCTTAACTGTCTTCTCTTTCAATATCTGATGTGAGAGAGTGTTTAAAAACCAGCCCACATCTTGGTCATCTGCAGGCCACCTCAAGTAGTGGCCCCTTTGCATATAGACTCTAATTGGCTGGTATTTCAGCAGCTGATACTGAGAAAGTGATCCTGCTACTACCATAATGAGGACATCCTTCAGATCACAAAAATATCTACTCTGAGCAAAATTAAAGGCTTCCACACACCAGCCATCTCTAAGAAACTGCTTTGTCACAACACAGATAGTCTTTTTACTATTCCAGATGGCATCACGAATGTTGGCTATATGATCCTCCCCTGGTAGGAAATCTCTGTGTTCAAAACAGAGAGTAAATCTGTTTTTGTCAGAGTACTGGGTATCGAGGTGCTGTATCAAAGATTTTTGGACCCACTCAAAGTCTGTGCTGCAGTAGCATAGGTAGGCATCATATCTATGTATCTTTCCATCCAACTGTGGCTGGGGATCCTTTAAGACTGCTCTTGTTACAGTCTTATACCACATAAAACAAGTCCCTCTAAAGCGGGTAAAGGCCACCACCACCACCAAGAACACTGTCTCAGTAACACAGGTAAAGATAAAGAGTGCAAACTGTAGCATCTCTAACATCTTGTCTTCATCACAGTCACCTACGGAAAGTGCATAAAGGGAAACACCGGCTAGAGCAGGGGGTCCAAAACAAAACATTTTATCCTGTGATCCAAATATAGAGACGTTGGTTTGGTTTAGCCACACAATCAAGCTGCTTAAAGGGCAGTCACAGTAATATCTGTTAAAGGTGAGATCCAAATGGTCAAGAGTGGCAAAGAGCTCAGGATTAGGAGAAAGCAGCTGATTTGATGATAAGTCAAGACTCCTCAAGGTCTTAGGGAAGGTGCCATGAGAAATGTAAGTCAACAGGTTAGAAGACAAGTTAAGCCTCTTCAGTGATACCAGGCCACTAAAGATGTCCTCTGGAAGGAAACTAAGGTAGTTATTATTGAGATGGAGGACTTGAAGCCTGGAAAGTGCCTTGAATACATCAAAGCATGACTTCTTCTCCCATACAAGCCTTAACATATTGTTGCCCAGATCCAAGTAAATTAATTGATTGTTTTCAGGTATAGTATTACTATAGTTGTTGCAAGTCGATAAACGATTGTATCTTAAAAGTGCATACTGCAAATCTGGAAATTGGAGAAGTTTATAGAGATAACCCAGATTTTCCAATCTGTTTTCCTGCAAGTCAAGGAAGGTAACATTTATAGTGTTTAATATAAACTTCAGCCGATTGCTGCCTAACAGAACATGCAAGAGATTTGGTGGGAGTGAGTCTATTGCTTTTAGGGCATTATCTTGGAGAGCCAGTGTCTGAAGTTTTAGCAAATATTTGAATGGGGCTTGATGAATCACTCCAATATGATTATGTGTCAAATCTATAGAAGTTATGTTATCAAGTCCTTCAAAAGTGTAATCCAGGAGTTCACCTAGTAGATTATATGACAGGTTTAGTTCTTTCAGGCTCCTGAGACCGAAAAATGCTGCTTTTTTAATCTGGTTTATTTTATTGTTGTTAAGATCGAGCCTCTCCAAAGAATAAAGATATTGAAACACATATGCCTTAAGAGAAAAAATAAAGCCATGTGAAATATCAAGTAAACGAAGGCCTCTCATAGTAAGACTAGCAAACGTTTCACTGTCTGGATCCTTGAGGTTATTAAAGCCATATGAAGCTCCCATGATGTGATGAGAGAACTTCAAAAACTGAACCGGCACTCCCTGAATAGCCTTAAAGAATTGCTGTGTTATAGCTATATCCCAGCCATTGCCACTTATGTCCAGTGTTTCAATGCGAATATTCTTGAAAGGATTCCCACAACTTGGCCAGTCTACTGGATTTCTGCTATACACGGAAGTAGAATCAAGATTTAACAGTGTGAAATCTTTTCCTTGAAAGCTATCAAGATTGCCTTCACATATGGTTTCAATACGGTTTAATTTAAAGTCCAGAATCTTCAAAGATGTCATGTTGTAAAATAAAGGGTGAGGATGAAGCCGAGTGATGTAATTAAGAGCAAGATCCAGATATTCCAAAGAGACCAAATCTTGAAAGTAAGATCCTTCCAGAATGGACTCTGTAAGTTTATTATAATACAGCCTAAGTGTACGCAAGTTCAGTAGGCCCACAAAAGCATCTGGGTCCAGATGAATCTTCTTATTGCCACCTAAGTCCAGTAGCTGAAGGTTTGGCAAGTTTCTAAAAGCCTCTTTTCCTATGGTTACAGGAGAAACCTTCTGGGT